GTCATGAGTAAGTTATGGAATAGAGTATATCTGCAAGAAAGAAGACCTGTAGTTATTTGAAATATATAATCTATAGAAAAAGTCTTTATTAAAATATTTCTGCTGTAAAAATCATGTGCATGGAGGTATTAGGGAGATGACATTAAAAGAACTGTGTGAACAGTATTGTTCTGAAAAGTGATGTGCATTGACTAGTTTTGCACAGAGAAGGTAATTGAAGAAAGTCTCTGCTTACATTTATATAAAGTACTATTAGCTACTAATCATCAAATGATTACGATGAAATTAGCAAGGGGTAGCAAGGGTACTCATGCTACTGTTAGCAAAATCTCATGTTTTAACGCTATTTATTCCAAAAATAAATGCTGGAAGATACATATAGGCTATGTCTAGATTGGCATGATTTTCCGCAAATGCTTTTAACAGAAAAGTTTTTCCGTTAAAAGCATTTGCGGAAAAGAGCATCTAGATTGGCACGGACGCTTTTCCGCAAAAGCACTTTTTGCGGAAAAGCGTCCGTGCCAATCTAGACGCGGTTTTGCACAAGAAAGCCCCGATCGCCATTTTCGCGATCGGGGCTTTTTTGCGCAAAACAATACCACGTCGTCTACACTGGCCCTCTTGCGCAAAAGCATTTGTGCAAGAGAGCTTTTGCCTGAACGGGAGCAGCATAGCATTTCCGCAAGAACACTGACATTCTTACATGAGATCGTCAGTGTTCTTGCGGAAATTCAAGTGGCCAGTGTAGACAGCTGGCAAGTTGGAAAAACTTGCCAGTCTAGACGCAGCCATAGCAAACTGGAAACGCTAAGTAGCAAGTTTAATATGTTTGATCCAAAACCAGTTTTGATTGAAGCAGGAGCGAGAACCATAATAATATTAATTTGAGGTTTTTCGTATCATTTTTCATAACAATGATTAGTAATATTTTCAACAAAGTTGTATAAAAGTGGATTCGAAAACTTTTTGTTGAAATAATACTTATTTTCAGCACAACTTAAGCAACACAGTAACTATTTGTTTTTGATAGTGGGTAACAGAATCTTTACATGGCATATTTGTGATATATTATAAGTATGATGCACTTAAAAGTTTTAAAACTATTAAAACTTACTTTAGTAACAAAGGCAGTTTTACTTGAAATGTGGCAATTTCATAGCATTCATTTAGTAACACTTCATAATTTTTTCTTACACAAAATGTGGTGGTTTTGTTTTTGTATTTAAACAGCTGAAGATGCATGTGGAGGAACAATGAGAGGAACCAGCGGCATTATCTCCAGTCCCAATTTTCCTAATGAATATCATAATAATGCAGATTGTACATGGACCATTGTGGCAGAGCCTGGTGATACCATTTCACTCATATTTACTGATTTTCAAATGGAAGAAAAATACGATTACTTGGAAATAGAAGGTTCTGAACCACCAACAATATGGTAAGTAAACTGGTGCTATTTTGAAGCCTATGAAGGAGAGAGAATATGTAGGGATGGTCCTATAACCTTTACTCGTGTCAACACTATTGCTTTGCTGAAGTAAATGGGATGATTACTTAGAAATGCAAATTGATTCACTGATTAGAAATGTAAGCCAACTTCTAAATGCAGAATATCAAAAGGAAGAACCGTGATAGACTCATCCACCTGCTTATATTGTTGGATAAATTTAATTTTTGCTGCATGCAAATTAAACTACAGTGCTATTGATTATCACTGGGTGTCCTAATGTAGTAAATCAGGATACACTTGTCTCACTACATAGTGTGCTGGGATAGGTGTGTATCTAATATTGCATTGATCCAACACTTAGCATCCTGGTTTATGTGATGTATCTTTCTGTACAGAAGAGACCCAATGTACTCCCACTGACTCTCCTAATGCAACTCTCTTCCCTTCATGCAGAACCAAGTTGTCCAAGTCCTGATCTTCCAACATTGTCCCCTTGGGGTTTGCTAGGGTTGTATACTCTCTCAATGTCCAGTTTCTCAGCAGCACTCCTGAAGGGAATGGAGTCTCATCTCCCTAGCTGAGTTCTTCAGGATGCAAACCCCTTCCAGCACCACGGGGATGGTGGGGGGCAGGGAGCAAACAAACAATGTAGGAGCAGAAAAATAAAGAAAAAGGAAACATACCAGCAGCTCCAACAAGGCCCCTGGCCTCTCTTCCATCAGATGGGCTTTGGATGGGCTACAGCATGGCTCAGAGTCTGCTGATCGTCAGTGAGGAATGTGGTACTGCTGTCAGGAAACGGGGTCATCAGCAGAACCAGCTTTAAGCAGTGTAATGAGCCTGGCTACCCCACCTGACTTGGTGAAAGTGTCACCAGTACTTCTTTAGCCTAGAAGTACTAGCTAAGCCACTAAAAGCATTCACATAGGTGACAATGGATTCTGCTTGTTCCCATGGTTGCCTCACTCTAAGCAACTCAGTCCTGATCTTCTGCTCCCAGCCTTGGCTCTGGAATTTGGCCTTTGACTCTGTTTCTGACCCTGGGCTCTGATTCCTGGTTACTGACCTTCTCGAGCCTGTTTCCTGCTCTAGCTACTGACAACAGTCCTTCTTTCCTCAGACTAGGGCCTTCTTATAGGTAAGGGAGTATGTTCTGCTCTCTGGCAGACTTTTCCTTGCGAGCTGGGAAGTTCAGCACTGGGCTTGTTTTCAAAGCTGTCTGCTACAAAGCTCAGTTACCTTCCCACGGAGTCAAAATAGCCATTCATTCTTTATGTGATTTATAGGCATGGGGCCACTGCAGCACTGAGCAATGCCTTCTTCATACTTTCCTATCAGGTGTGCATTTATACATTCTCTCACCCAAGCCCCTTTTGTTCCTCTGAACAGCTGCCTCTGTACTTGCTGGCCTCAATAGAGTTGTATTGGTATAAAACTAATGAAAAAAACAGATGAATCAATTTGTACTGGTACAAAACTAATGTAAAGAACAGATGAAGCAAGTCACTGACTCAGTTTGTTGGTAAAATAACTGGGAAAAGATCCATGGTTAATTCAACACCATTTATAGTTACACGGCAAAGCTATTCAAGTCAACATACAGTAAGAGTGTTTTTTTGAGTATGACAGATAGTTTCCTTTATCATATTGGTTTAAACTCATTCAAAGAAGAGGACATAAATACAACCTTCCACAACACTTATACCCCATAATTCAGTCTCAAGTGGTGTTCAGAATGCTTTGTGAGATCTTTATGCGTTCTGTTTGAAGTCAATGGTGCTATAGCAGTTTACTCTACATAAGATGCCTTCCATTGTGTTTAATCAGGATAGGAAAAAAACCCAGATTTTTTAAAATGCTATAATGAAAGAAAAAATGTCCCTCCTTATTTATGGCATTTATACAATTTGAAAAGTAGACCTTATTTGCAAATGATACTAGAAATTATATTCCTCGACACTTCATAATATATAACAAGATAGTAGACAGTGAACTGTATTTCAGCTTTCATGAATGATATCCCATAATTTATGTCACTGCTTATATGAGTTTAATCATCTGTATTGAAAAGTTTCTGATTTGCCATTGATTTTATTTTCAAGCTGGTAAACATTTTGAACTGGTTCCCAGCTAAATTAATTCTTTTAAAACTAGAATTTATTATCATTATTACTCAGCAACTCAAGCAACATAAAAACAATGTTAATCAGCTGAACTGTTAAATCTTAATTTGCTTACTCTAAAATAAATTTTATGCATTCAGTTTAAAGCTTCCAGTAGTGATTTAGGTTTTCTCCAGAACCGAGTTTTGAGATACTTAATGAAACAATAATGTTAATTTATATATGGAAATACTTATGATCTATTTACAAAATGTAAAATAAAGTTTTAAAATGCTAATGCATTAATTGCTCATTTAGAGGAACAGATTGTAAGAGCATTTTTTTCTAAACTTATTCAAATTCCTTGAATTAGATGGATGTAGTTCTCCATATGCTAGGGGAAAATGGATTTTAAAATCTTAATTAAGAGATTTGATCATTAGTTTTAATATGTTTCATACTTTATATCCCTTTAGAATAGTGCTCGAGGTTCAGCTCCACATAGCTACATTAGTGATGTGTGCACAAAATTTCCCATATCTAAATCTAACAATAGGCTCTTCATGTTGTATCTTACTCTATTAGACAAATGATACATAATTGCATGAAAGCCTATGAACATTTTTAAAAATAGTTTTTGATTCAGACAGTAATGTCTTTAAAATTATTTCTCGTCCTATTACCTTATGTATGTATTGATGGCAAAAAAAACCCAAAAAACCCTTCATCCTTATCCTCTTGTCCACCTAGGTAAATAACAAACTATTTTAATTATGAGTTACAAGTTAAAATACTGAGCTAAATATGTAAGGTAGTCACTATTTTCATAGGAAAAGAAAATGTCTAAGAATTATTCACAAAACGCTGTAGCTTTCCATTCTCACCTCCTGGGTCAAGACAGTTTTCATATTTAGAAAAATAGTTGTGCTAAGTCTTTTCTATATTGAAATTGAAAGACTGTATATCCTTTTCATAAAGTATCATAGAGTAGCTAGATTATTTCATAATCTTACTCACTCTTCTATTTTCTGTCATTTTAAATAGGGTACAGTCTTTGACAGTTGATGCCATGTAAAAAGTATTCTTAAGCCCTCCAACACACCCCTTTGTGATTTACCTAATGCAAAGCTTTACAGAAGGCATGCCTTCTCAAAATAAAATAAAATGAAATAAAGTAAAATAAAATAAAATCATCATGCTAAAGTGAATTCTGAGTACCTTTTGTCCTGCTAGTCTTTAGAGATTGCCTGATGAGATTATGTCCATATCCGTATTCATCTTAAAATAGGGGTTCAGAAGTTATATCAGGCCTTCATTCTTATTTCTGTCCAAAGATTTTGAAAGTTTACAAGCTGTTATTCCAGGCTTTGAGCCTCTATTGGTAGCACTCTGGCAAGATGAGCTGATCAGTTAGCAATTATGTATATTCTGATCCATAAAAGCATCTAATCCCTTCTTTTTCTGATCCTTATTAAGTTTTTGGCCTAAATGATAGTTTGCAGCAGTGAATTCCCCACAGGTAATCTACATACCAAGTATTGGTTTCAAGTTTGTTGCCTCACAAATTCATTGTGTGCCTTCCTCTATTTGGATTATAAAAGAGGGTAAATAGGAGCACCAACCTAACTTCTTTGATAACATTAATTATATTATCAACTTCTTCCATAGCCTCCAAAATTAATTTCCTCCTTTAATTAGAGCCTTAATCTTTTCAATATATTCTTGGATAGAAATCTTTCTATGCGTTAATCACTATAGATTTAGAAATCTAACTCAACATCCAGTGGATAATGCACATCCACTGGTTGTCATAAAGTATTTATCTATTTATTTTGTTGTAGCTACATTGATGCTTTTCCCTTTTCTATCAGGAGTTATGCTTTCATCTCTAAATTATGAACATAAGTTTATTTATTCTCGCCAAGTGTTTATTTTCTCTATACTCCTCTGCAGTAGTTCAAATACCAAAATAAACTTAAGCCTTGTTTTTCTGTTTTGTTACCAATCTAAGTAATTAGCATAAAATATGAATGTCAACAGCACTGATTATGGAAAATTCCCTTTTATTTGAAATGCCATTATGTATCTTGAGTTCTCTTCCTGTTTTTAGAGTCTGTAACAAAATAGTCACAATTTTAGGCCATTTCTACACTACAGATAAGATTGAAGCAGCCTCAGTCGATCTTCCAGGGTTCAAATTAGTGGGTCTTGTGAGGACACGCTAATTCAAACTGAGAGGACACTGCCATCAATGCTGGTAGTCTTGCTTCTACAAGGAGTAAGGGAAGTTGAAGGGAGCTTTCTTCAACTTCCCGGAGTGTGGACAGAGCCAAAATTCGAGTTAAAATACTTTGACTAAAGCTATTCAATTAGCATAACTGATGTTGCGTATCTCAGTTCAAATTTATCCCCTAGTGGACTGGGATTAGTGTTTTAGTACCAAAAAGTATTACAGTAAATACATTGTTTATGCTTTAGCACTGCATTCTTTGATTACAATAAGACCAGTGACTCATTGAGGGTCAAATACATTCTCACCATAAAATAAATACACGTGGTGAAAAATATTTTTAGGTTCTCTTAAACTTAAATGTTTAAGGACCGAATCTTCAACTGGACAAAATCAGTGAGTAATCCTCTGGCACCTTCGAGACTAACACAAATATACAGTATCATGAGCTTTCGAAGAAAAGTTGGAGTGGAAAAATCAGTATCCAAGAGATTTGTGTAACAGCAAAAAAAGTACCTATTGTAGGATCCGTGTTAATGAAGATAATTAAGTGGTCTCAATGTATCCCATTCATAGTTTTTGATGAGAAAATGTGTATTTGATGGGAAGGGGAAATTGACTTTTTAATGTGTTAAACAGTTTATTCAAGCCCAAGA